AAGTAATATCAGACTAAAAAATCTCAAACAATATTAGTCCTTGATATTAGATGGTTGGAGGCAATCGGCCACAGGAAGCCTTGCTTGACCTAGGTTTCGTGCTAATTGGCACCCATCAGCAAGGCGTATCTGCAACTGAAACTTATGTATCTTCTGAGATTCGAACCCGCGTCACCCAGTGAGTACTGCAGTCAGAGACGTTACCACTACTGAGCTATTCAGACTCGCGATTGACCTCCTTTAGGACTGTATAGGACACTTTTGATTGGATAGGTCCAAGGCTTCCTGTGGCCGATTGCCTCCAACCATCTAATACCAACAATTCACAGTGTACCGTGATGGCGAGGCACCTAGCATGGTTGGCCACACATTGTGTGTAAGCTTGACTGTGATAGACTTCAGTCTGCACCGAAGATAGGACTAGAAAACATTACACTAGTTACTAACTAGTGCCCATTCAAAAATACTGGTCCTTTTAAAATAAATTAGAATGTGATTTATCTTGGAGACAAAAAGAAAACGGTGTTTATTTGTAAAACAAGACGATGCGATACTGTATATTTACGCAGTACATATTTTTTTTAATAAAAAAAAACAACAACACTCTGATCGCACACATTCATTTTATTTCTAATTTCTCATTTTTCACATAAATTCAGATTGTTCTTTGGAAAGTATACTGGACAAATACATCACATCACATTGTGTGTGTATGTGTATGTATGCGTTTTATTTCTTCAGATAAATTCCATCTTCGAACACACAACACTACTCACAGTGTACTCATATATGTATATTGCTTTGTTTTTTAAACAATCTATCAGTTAAAAGGCGGTTATAGATGATGATACTTGAAGATGAAGTAGAAATTTGAGTTGCTATATGAGAATACGAACCACCTCAACTTCAAGTAGTTCATCATAGTGTTATATATATGCTGCCACTTTTATCATTTTGCATTATAAATTGGTATAAGGATGAAGAAACCAAGGGAAGTGTGTACTGCTCAGAAGTTCGCTCCGTCCTTCTCTATGGCTCTGAAACATGGCCAATACGAGTTGAAGACATGAAAAGTTTGACTTGGTTTTGATCATAGATGTCTACGATCTCTTTCTCACGTTAGGAGGTGGTATAATAATAAGGTGGTAAGTAATGTTGACATTAGGTGTAGAGTGTTGGGCAAAGAGGAAAAATCAATCGACGAGGCTATAAAGTTACATAGATTGAGATGGCTAGGTCACGTGCTGTGCATGCCTAACCATCGCCTCCCCTGACGGATGGGCATTACTAGCTGATATAGGTAGGTGCAGGTTGGAAAAGAGTAAGAGTAAGTGGTGGCCAAACAAAAACATGGCCTCATCAATCCATGAAATCCTTGACAGTTAAACTGAGTCAGTCAGTCAGGTAGGGAGGGAGGGAGATGCAGACTTCCGGGTTGGGGCCCGGCCTGCCCTCGGGACTCTAACAATCAATCAATGAAGGCTGGAGACAATAGATGACATGGCTCAAAATCGTTCGTTGTCAATGGCTTACGCAGATGTATTCAGTCTCTGTAATCTTTCATATTCCTTTCTACCACCATTACTCATTCTGTTTCACTCTTATACTTGTCAAAAGTCTATTGATTCTCTTCACTCATTTTCTTGTCTACCTATGTGTGGTATTTGGAACGTGTCAACTCGAACTGGTGCACTTCGGTGCCAAGTTCTATGTTGAATCCAGACAGACAGACAGAAGAAAATGGACACAGATGAGGTGATCAGGCAATATCGCTAGGTTATTTCATCATTGTATAGAACACCTACCTGTTCCCCCAGCCCACCACCCGCCACCCTCCTCTACTTAAGCGAGAACACAAAACGAAACGATATGGGACGGAAAGTATGCTTCAGTATCAGTGATTGATTATACGATCGATTATTTCAAACGCTGTTAGCCGTCTTTATTGTTGTAAAGAAAATGTATAAATACCATGTGTTGTTTTCCTACTAATAATTGTTGTTATTACAATATACAGCATCTTACAGTCACAGGCCACAGCCTTATGATATTTGCGTGGCTTAGTTAATTGGAGACAGACGCAGCAGACATAACTAAGTGATTACAGTTCTCATTCAGTTCAGTGAAGTTATATAACAATCAGTCACATTATATTTACAAGACGAAACAATGACGTATACAAGCGCTGAAGATGTCACCTAGTAGGGTGATGAAAGCTTCGCAAATTAACTAACCAGCTCAGAGAACACAACCACATCAAAAACATATAGAAATCGGATTGAGTAATATAATGAAGTGTCTAATAATTAATTGTAATTATACAAGAAACAATTTATTGGACGACATTTAAACAAGATTTTTACTAGTTATACAATTAGTGTTAATGTGAACAGAATTCAGAAGGAAGTTCTTAAGGCATAATGAACACAACAATCATTCGCTTACCAATAAACACAAACACACACAAGCGACTAGTCAGTCAAAAAAAACAAAAACAAAAGAAGATTAGAGTTAGAAATTCGTTTTCACATTTATTGAGTTATGAATCCTACTCATTTCAGTGTGTGATGATACCACGCCCAAATGAATATGCTGAAGTATGAGGGAACAGAAAGCTTAGCAGCTGCAATGCATGCATTAAAACAACCACATAATAAGGTGGGAGTCTGTCTGTTTTCCACATAGAACTTTGCACATATGTGCACCAGTTCAAGCCGCCACACTCCCTCCATGTACCACACAAAGCAAGAGAAGAAAGTAGGAGAAATGCATATTAGAGAGAGACAGTAAACAGAGGTGTGAAACAAATGAATAGTAGTAGCGAAGAACAATATAGTTTCATTGGAAATAAGTCACAAGGAGTGGATGCATCTGCACCAGTCAGCCATTGAGAACGATCACTTTGAGCCATGTCACCAATTGTTTCCAGCCTTCATTGGCTTTTACCATCCCGAGGACCCCAACCAGTGAGGAAGTCTACACCTTCCTACGTGACTGGCTTAGACTAACTGTTGTGGATTTGATTGACTGGTGAGGCCATGTTTTGGTTTGGTCGCCGCTAGCTCTTTTCCAGACTGACTCTATATCAGCTAACATTGCCCAATGTCGAGGAAGGCGATGACTAGGGATGCGTAACACATGTCCTAACCATCTCAGTCGATGTAATTTCACAGTCTCGTCGATTGATTTCCCCTCCTCCTTACCTAGCACTCGACCGATGGCCCAACCTCAATATTGCTCACCTTATTATACCACTTCACACACACGGGAGATAGAATGCAGACACCTATGATCAAAGAGAGCTAGCCGGTCTTTTCATGTCTTGCACTCTGAATGGCCAGGTCTCACAGCCATCCATAAAGGAGGACGGAGCGGACTGTTGGGCAGTACACATGCCCTTTCATCGATATTTCGTTTAACGTTGTGCGTTAGGAAAATAAGACAGTCTGGTATCACACTCAGCGTCTGCTTTTACAATTTGTTAATTCTTGTATTCTACCTATTCTTCTTTATTGTTCCCACTTTAATCTTTACTCAGCTTCACTTATGAAAGGCTATGTTACACTGAGAAGGGGCACTAAAAAACTGTCATTAGGACGAGTGAAGTGTAGCGACACCAACTTTTTAAAATACCGTTGTAGACAGACACATGAACTCATGCAAAAAATTGGCAAACATTATCTCGCCACACTTGGAGCATCCTCTTTATAAACAACTCCCTTTTTGTCTCATCTCATCAGGCAGAACTAGTAACAACTATAGAATACTATATATATATATATATACTCGGATGACTAAGTATAAAACCTCGAACATACCTTACTTGGCATACACATTTTATGTGATAAGAAACCTGTAAGGCAAGCGTCACTACTAATTTACTGAGAAACACTAAGTGAACGGCTCTTTTAATTCTTCCTTTCATTATTACATTGTTGTTCCTATTTCCAATTGAATTTTAATTTCATATTCCTAATGAACGCCTTGTTTTAGTTATTACCCCTGTTATGAGAAAACTAAATGCAATACTGTACTGTAATATATGCTGAAAATTCCATACATACATGCCAAAAGAACCCAGTTTTAAAATAAAGCTGTTGTTGAGTGTTAGTTACTTCAGAAAGCACACGCATAAAAGTTGTGGGTGGGTGGGGGAGGGACAGGGAAATGAAATACGAAGGAACACTGTAACAAATGGAAATGTACAGAGAGGCAAGAATAAGGTGAATTCAATGGATCTACAGGAGATGACACTCACAAGGAATTCGAACCATGTTGCCAACAGTCTCTCCAGAGTCTTTGAGACCCTACCAAGCCAGACAGTCTATACATAACGACTCAAACCGACAGTTAGAGATTTTATAGATTGACATGCGGTGTTTTTTTTTTGCTTTGATGACACCGATCTCTTTTTCAATCTCACTTTACGCCAGTTAACACTGCTTGACGAAGAAGGTAATAATAGATTGACATATGTACTACTAGTCAATAAATCAAGTAGTATTGTGGTGAGAGCTGTCTACTAGCCAATTGGTTGACAGTAATTGAGGTCAAGGTCAAGATGGACAGGCGGATACAGTTAACATTTAGATGAACTGACACAGCCACAAGAATTGGAAACATTTATTTCCCGATACGAATTTAAAACAAGCAATAAAGGTTAATAAAGCAGGATTTAATGAATTCATCAAATTTCGGTAGAACTCTTCAGCTGAATACTCTACATACACGGATATATACAGCCACAAAGAGATGCAAGGTTAACTTTCTGTGAGAAACAACCAATCAAAAGACTGTATTTTCTACTAACATTAACCTACAATAATGTATATCAAAATCTATAAATACGTGTTGATTTTCCTTAATAAACGTTCTGTTGCCTGGCCCTTGTCTTCTGTTGTTACAGTATTAATTTCCGAGAACTCCTGGTCTTACTTACTTCACAAACTTAGTAAAACCAAACCAAACCAAACCAAACAGCACAGTGTAAATTTACTTACCGAGCAGCAACATTTTCACTATTTATACGAACTGGTGAAATATGCCATGGACAGTTATACTTTTCCATACGTAGAAAATCAAACTGACAACATATTGCAGGCTCTGGACCACATGTATGCGGAATATCATAGGAAAAGAATGGAAACATATGTGCAAGCATACCATGAGATTTAGTTGAATCTGGAAGAGAGAGAGAGAAAAAAAAATGGAAACAGAGATATGCATGCTGATATGAATATTTATATTTACACTTTATGTAAGTGTGGAATTATCTAAATATTTAGCCATGGTATTAAATCCCCTAAAAATCCACTGGAAATCTAGACTAACTAATTCTTATGAACTGAAACATAGATTAGATAATTTAAAATTAGATAATGAAGAAAAAATGGTTAGTTTTGACATTATCAGTTTATACACACGTATACCAATAAATATGGCTATGGAGGCAGTCAGAAACGAACTCATTTCTGACCAAGACCTCGAACTTAGGACAAAAGTGCCACTTGAGGACATAATGCTGGGAGTACAGCTATGCCTGACTTCCACAGTATTTAAATTCCAAAGGAAAATATACAAACAAACTGAGGGAGTTGCCATGGGATCACCAATATCCCCAGTTGTAGCAGATATATTAATGAATAAGTGGGAAAACATAGCGATTGAAACGTTCAACCCCACCCCGAAAGTATGGTGGAGGTATGTAGATGACACATTCACTGTACTTAGAACACAAGATATAGATAGGTTTTTTGAACACATTAACTCGAAGGTTGAAGCAACATCAATTCACTTATGAATTGGAAAATCAGGAAGCGGGGGAGCTCCCAATGTTAGATTGCAACGTAAAAAGGAAAGAAGATGGGAAGTTAAACACACTAGTGCGTGTTTACAGGAAACCCACACATTCAAACAGATATTTGGACTTCCGATCATCCCATCCTATGTCAGTAAAAAAATAGGATTGGTGAAATTTTTGAATGACAGAGCACAAAAACTAAGTAGTACCGAAGAAAATCTAAAACAGGAACTGATACACATAAAAGAAGCTTTGAAACTTAATAATTACCCGGATAAATTAATCAAGAAATATGTAAGGAAATGTAAAAATAAAATAAATAATGATAGTAGCGATAGTGATAATAATAATAGTGATAATAATAATATTAATGACGACACCAATAATAAGAAATCTAAATCATCAGTAGTAATTCCATACAAGGAAGGAACCTCAGAAGCCTTACGCAGAATTCTTAACAAGTCAGGAATAAAAACGGCATTTAAACCCACAAACTCAATTCGAAACAAGCTTTGTCGGTTAAAGGATCAATCCTGTAGAGCCTTTAAAACAAAACAATTTAGTTCATCGAATACCCTGCAATGATTGTCACGTCAAATACATAGTTCAAACTAGTAGAACAGGGGCAGTCAGACTAGCTGAACATAAAAACTTAGCAAAATCTAGATTGGTTGACCCGAATAAGATAAGAAATCTAGAGAATAGTTCAGCTATAGCACTCACTGCATGCAACTGCACACAACCATACAATAGGATGGGATGCGATAGGATGATAGTTTTAAAATCTAATGTCACAGGGTATAGGGAGAGATTGATAACAGAAGCTTTGTTTATCGAATCAACTGAAGAGAATACGTGTAATAGGAATGATTCATCACCTGTCCCCGATATCTGGAAAATTCTACTACCCCGACGATGACAAATCGGAGAACACAAAGAAAATTATAAAACTCAAGTCCTCAAGTCGTGTGATTACAATTGATATGATTATGAACAGCAATAATTTTTGTTCGAAACTGTGTCATCCAGTAAATAATACTGTTTCACTCACTGTGTGATATATCCATCTAATACACAAACTAATATGGAATTACTTACGACCACAGTGCCCATGTTTTACACATATATTAATAAGTGTGGATAACTCAGTAGCAGCGTTTTTAACTGCACATAGCAATGGGTAACGCGGACTAGAGTCTCAGAAGGGAGATTATTATTTCCTTCACGGTTGCAGATACGCTTCGTTAATGAGTGTCGACAAGCACAAAACTTACGTCTAGGATTTCCTGTCGATTGCATTAAACCATCTACTATATGCCAATGTGTTTATAGATCTAACTAGGATGCAGGTGGGAATTAGGGTGGCATTTAAACCTACAAACTCACTCGGACAGGACAAGCTCTGTAGGTTAAAGGACCCAGTTAACCCAATTAGACAAAATAATATAATTTACAAAATACCTTGCAATGACTGTGAGTTAAGTCAACTACATAGGTCCAACTAGTAGGTCAGGGGTAGTCAGATTGTCAGAACATAAGAATTTAGCTAAGGTAAGAATGGTTGACCCAGAGAAGATAAGTAATTTAGAAAAAAGCTCAGCAATTGCAATGCATGCATGCATTAACACACAACCACACAACGGGGTGTTACGAGAGGGTTAAAATTCTAAAATGTAATCTAGGTAGGTGGAGAGCGAGAGAGGTTGATTACTGAATCCTTGTTCATCGAGTGGATCTACACCCAACACATGCAATAGGAGTGATTCATCACTCATACCCGAAATATTGAAGATACTACTACCAATCAAATCAAGTGAAAAACAATGGAACCATATAAATGAATTTAGGAAGTCGTGTGATTACCTTGATATGATTATGAGCAGTAATAAATTGTGCTCGAAACGTTGTCATCAGTAAACATTACTGTATAACACATCGTGAGACTTTATCAAAACAAAATTTACCCATAATGGAATTACATTCTACCACAGTGCACAAGTTTTATTCTGATATCTAGGATGCAGGTGTGTGGGCATGTTTGCAAGAGATTCATTCATCTTTATATGACTTGATTGCCTTAACTTATCTAGGAAGCATCGTTCCAACTACAGCTGATTCTCCACGGATGAGAATGACACAGTCAGAGTCGGAAAGGCAAGACATGTAACGACAGAAGGCATTACTATGGATAGTTAAGCAAACAAACACAGTCTTCCGACTGGTTGTTTCTCACGTAAAGTTAATCTTTCATCTATTTGTGACTGTTTCTTGAATGTCAAATCCTCTATATGTTAACTGCATCCGCCTACGCAAAGTCTGCTGTGGTCGGTTTTGAATCAATCTTTGTTCACATTTTCTCACCACAAATCTTGGGAACGTAAATATTGACGTCAATTACTGTCTACCAATTTGGCTAGTAGACAGCTCTGACCACAGACAGACCTTCATTACTCTGAAATCAATTTGGTAATCCTATCACGACCACCATAAAGAATATTCCATTGGTTTTCAGCACCAACTTGAAGTCAGTCACTTCTACTATATGCGTCAGAAAACTTGGTGAGAGCGTCACGAAAAGCATTTCCAACAAACCACTGCAGACTTTATCAACAGCTGACTCCTCTTGATACTGAAGATGCGATGGTCAGTCAGAAAGAATTAGAAACGAGACCAATCAAGAACCTATTGTTGAATAAATATGCGAAAAAAAGAGTGGAAGTGGATCGGATACATGGTGAGAAGACCGTTGAGTGACATTATATGCCAGGCCAGTCTTCGAGTGGAACCCCGATAGGAAACGATGAGTCCGGGGGCAACATGGAGGAGATTGTGTGTGTGTGGGGAGGAGATGAAATCTAATCACAGCAATCGTGGGTCCAGTCGAAGAGGGCTGAAGAGAACAGGACAAGATGGAGACATGCTGTTGAAGCCCAATGTTCTATTCAGAGCCCAACGGAATAATAATGGAATATTATATATATAACGTTATGAGCCAAACAATCACACTGAGGGTGTTGGTGCAACTGAATTAGGGGCAGTGGAGTTTGAAACTAGGCACAACTAGTCGAAAGTTGAATGCTTAAGCTAAGTGGCCGCACTTGAGAATGCAGAGATGGCGTAAATACGAAATGTATTTAAGATATATTCAGACGATTATTATTTATAATATTTATTTAAACGCAGAAAAAACTTGGTACAATATGGCACCAAGAAAGATGCACCACACAATAATAATAAAACAACATAGATTAAAAGTAAAAATATAAATAGAAAACGGATAAAGAACTTCATCTGGAAGGGAAACAGTCATACTAAACAAGTTCAAACAGTATTCGTTAACTATCATCAGGAAGGGAAGAAAGAAGGAAATTACAACACGTTCGCCATTGATTACGATTCTTCGCCATATCCAATAATGTTTCGAGCCATCGATTCGAGCTATCTCGCGGACCCCAACCAGGGAGTCGTGACGTACCAACCGATGCTAATCTAGCACAAATATCCTTCATCCCACGACGCCACGTCATGGACTGACCACCCCTCCACCTTTTCCATCCCGTCCCAGGGCTGGCTAGCGAACAGAGACCTGTACGGAAGCCTCTGGGATGACATTCGCAGCATATGTCCAAGCCACCGGGGCCGGTGTTTCCAGATGACGACACTCAATGAATGGTGATCTCCACTGTGTTCAAACACACACCGCCGAACCTCAGAATGACTCACGCGATGATGACATCGAAAGCAAGCAATCCTGCGGAGACAGCGATGATCGAACACGCAGAGTCGCCTCACATCCTCAGGTCGGAGAGGCCAGGTTTCACAGGCGTAGAGTAAGATAGCTCGCACCAAAGCATTGTATACCCAACCTTTGACAGCCAGGCTAACGTCGCGACGGCGCTAGAGATGGCTGAAGTTGATGTATGCCACCCTAGCCTTCATGATATGGTTGTAAATCTCATCCGTCACCCGTCCGACAGCACTCACACAACTGCCCAGATACACAAACTTATCAACAACTTCAAGCGGTTCACCCACAAGAGTGAGTGCAGGTACAGGCTCCTGCCAATCTTGTAACAGTACTTTGCACTTAGACGGCGCAAAGCACATACCATACTTACATATATTCAGACGATGTGAGTGATGTTCTTTATTAGCTTATGAATGGATACCTTAAGAAATTAGGTCAATCGAAAATCTTATCGATAAAAAAAAATTGGTTCAAAAGAGATCTTGAACGAAAAAAGAAACTCAGTCTGTTGCGTAATCGCAGAGCCTAGAGAAAACAACTACTTAATAACATAAGGCCTCTCTGAAATCGCTATCGGTGTTGAATCAATCTGTATGAAGACCAAACCACCAGAGGGTTAGTCAGGATGTACAATTTACTGAGTCAAAATATTATTTTAAACCACCCTCACTGCCCTGTAGAACAAGAAGGGGAGGGGGTTAGCTAGCCTAATGGTCGTCTGAAGGAAATATACCTTACTGCTCTTATTATCCTCATTAACTAGCCCCATGAATCTGTCCTCAGATCCCGCAACATACCATTAGAAACGACCATCCTGGAACCCAATGGGAACATTCATTGTGCAGGTATTGTAGCTTGTAGGGTCTTTGCGATATGCAAGACTAACCACACTACGTCATGGTAGCTGCAGCTACCAGTAGATAAGCAGAGCCTTTATCCTTGTATGAATACATTTATCAGTTTTTGTTACGTTTCTACTTGACTGTGTGTCATTGAAAATTTCGATAACGGATGTGTATTCCTTCTTCCATACTGAGTAATGCAGACACACACGCACACACGTACACACTTCAGCACTTTAGGTTTGTAAGAAATAATTAATTAATTAATATCACAGGGTGTGATTGTCATCATGGACGGACATCAGTGTAGGAGAATTATCACCACGAGGCAGAGTACTGTTTAGCAATGAACTATTATTATTATTGTTATTGTTCCCTTGAGTTCCTAGTGGAACATAGGGATTCAACTGCACGTCTCCACTTGCTTCTGTCTTCTCCTGTACTTTTCACATGCATCCATGTTAGTCCATACTGTTTCAACTTCTCTTCACACGATCTCCTCCATGTCACCCTTGCACTGACGTCCCACTCACCGCTTCCCTTTCGGGTTACACTCGATGTCACCCAGCGGCCTTCTCAGCGAGTGTCCAATCCATCTCCACTTTCTCCTGCATATTTGTTAAGCGATTGGTTCTTGTTTTGTTTTGTTTGTTCCCATAGTTTCTTGTTGGTTCTTGTTCTGTCCGGCCATCTTCTGATCTTCAGTATAGAGCCAGCGAAGACAGTTGTTGTTGATAAAGGTGTGCAACAGGCTGTTGGAAATATTCTTTGTGACACACTGGCCAAGTTTCTGATCCATCCGTATAGAAGAACTGACTGACTGACTTGACGTTTGTATTGAAAATCCGAATCATTTTGTTGTTGATGCAGGCTGAGTTGAGTGACAGCGGAAGATTTCCAGATTGGTTGGTGTCAGGTTGATGAATGTGTTTCTCGCCTTCCCGATTGTCGATTTGACATCCTCGTCCGTTCCTCCTGTAGTTGAGACAATGCTCCCTCCCTAGATAAGTGAATGAAGTAACCTCTTTTAAACCCCTCCCGTTGATAGTGATTGGCGCTGGATGTTGCTGCTGTTGTTGTTGTTGGTTGGTTATTTTCATAACCTCCGTCTTGTCTATGTTCACCTGCAGTCCTGTCTTCTCTGGCTGCTTCTTCGACCAGTTTGTGGGTTTTCGCTTGTAAGTCTTCGGTTTTGTGTGACATCAAACATAAATCATCCGCGATATCCAGGTCTTCTAGGTTCTTCACATCGGTCGGTCCAGGATATCCCTGTCTTCTTGTTTCCCACTATCTGACGCATAATCCAGTCCACCACAATTAGGAATATCATTGGTGATAATAAGCACTCTTGTCTGACTCCTGTGTTTACTGCAAACGCCTCGCTGAGTTTTCCGTTGTGGATCATTAGCAATGAACTAACCAACCAAAAACTTATCCAGATAAAAAATTGAGGTGAAATGAACAGCATACGCTGACGGCTACTACTATTGGCTGACATCATGCGTCAGGTTTGCCTTCCACAGAGGGTCCGGCATCAGTCCGAGAATGACATGGAGGAGAGATCATTGAAAGAGGAAATGAAAGCTTATGAGCAGCTGTGAAGCCAGCTAAAAGAGAATTGAAGGCAAGAAAATGAAATAGAAACATGCTGTTGAAGCCTTATGCTCTACTAGCGACCCAAAGGAATATTGATAATAATAATAATAATACAGAAAGCTGTAGAGCTATTTCCGTCTAGCTGTTTAACATTCTTTAGAAGGGATTGAATCCAGAATCTGCGAGTTACAATACCAGTTAAAATTTGTCAATCAGGCATTAGCTTGAAGATTGACTATTAATTGATTATTAATGGATATAAACTAACTTACCCCATAATTGATACCAATAAAATTCTAAGGCTTTTTGCAGAGCTAAATGCTTTTTCACTTCATAATGTACACGATTAATAATCATATGAGAGAAACCGAATTTTTTAGCTAAATATGCCATAGTTGAACTTTGTCCAAATGGATCAATAGACCAGGTTGTATTTGGCCGATAGTCTAAAGTAAATTCCAGTGAAAAAGAAAAAGAAGGAAATATTATATAGGTGATAATTGTGGGTAAAAAATGTAAAACAAAAAAAAAACAACAGGCTAATTCACATTAACGCTTATAAATAGCGGAATACTTACAACAATACAAATACAAATGCTTCAACAACAGTGCCATCGTCAGGCATCTCTTCGACACGGGTCATGAGGTGGACGTCGAAAAGTTGTTCAAAATTATCAATAGGCGCAAAAGAGCTCAATTCTCCTTAAGTTTGCTGAAGCCATTTCCATCAAGCGCCTGAAACCTGACTTATGCGTTCAGAAAGAAGCGGTTATCAGTCTTTCTTTGCACATCCTGGTAACTGGATATTTTTCATCCGAATGCGAGATGCTGAAAAGTTTTCATTGTGTATGATTATTATGGTTCGGAATAGTGTTTAATATTGCATATATATATTATTATATTATTATTATTGTTTCCTTTAATTCCTAGAGGAATATAGGGCTTTAGCCATGCGTCTCCATTGCGTTCGATTCTCTGCTAGAGTCTTCACCTGGCTCCAAGTCTGCCCACACACACGCTTTCATCTCCTCTTCACATCACCTCCTCCAAGTCACCCCACCCTTGCACTGACGACCAATTCGCCGCTTCCCAATCGGTAGGGTTCCACTACAGCAATGGCTTGTCTAGTGATGTCACTCACTTGATGGTTTGTTTCCTCAGAGTATGGCCAGCCAATCCATCTCCATTTCTTCCGGCCTATTTGTTTCACAATCGGTTCCTGGTTGGTTCGCTCCCAGAGATCTTTGTTGCTGATCTTTTCTGGCGGGCCATCTGATCTTGAGCGAAGACAGCTAGCTGTTAATGAAGGTCTGTAGTTTGTTTGAGATGCTCTTTATGACGCGCAGTGCAAGTCTCTGATCCGTATAGCAGCACTGACTTCACTCACATTGGAGTTGAAAATCCGGATGCTATTTTTTATGGTGAGTGCAGTTGACCTCCACACAGACTTGAGAGTAGTGAAAGCTTGTCTTGCTTTGATATCCTTGTCAGTTGCGTTCGCCTGTAGTTGGAACTATGCTTCCCAGGTAGGTATATGTATATTAGTGTATGCGTATATTGATCGATTGATTTTTGTTTAAAATGAACTGTCTGTGCAAGTATGTTAAAATTGTTTTGTAGATACATTTAATAATGTCTTTGCCCTGTAAGCAGCTGACGAGAATGCAACGAAATAAAAGATGGTAACATTTTATTCTGCTAAAACTGTAGTTCTTGCTTTGTTCAAAATCATTAAGGGGAATAAATGTATGAAATTACAACATTGTGTTAAACTGACAGTGAAAATAAAACAATAATAATATCTTAGTGTGACTGTCTTCGAAGCTTCCAGGGATATATGATTTTTCTAGAAGTTTTGTGTGCTGTGGGCAATTTGTACTTCCTGGCTGTCCACACCACGGAATTTGATTTTTAGCGTTGTGTCCGTGTGAAGATCTTACCACCATCGACTACAGACCAGCGTAAGGCAAGTTGGGATGAACAATTTTCGGAGTCGATCTTTTATCTAACCCGTCCTCCGTCCTTAGAGCTAAGTGGTAGCATAACTGGCTTGCTGGTTATCTGAGGGGAATACCTTGACTGCTATTACATATCTACTCGTCAGCAACACGACTTCGCCCACAGACCCAAAACCATGATAGGTAACTACTTTAAGTTTAGCCACTATGGAAACAACCTTTCTGGTATGGTAGGCATACTAGTTTCAGTCAGTGTAGCTTGTTGGGTGGTTGTGAAAAATGCAGTCCTCACCACTACCACTACCACTGTAACAACAGAAGACAAGGGCCAGGCAACAGAACGTTTATTAAGGAAAATCAACACATATTTATAGATTTTAATGTACATTATTGTAGATTATTGTTAGTAGAAAATACAGTCTTTTGATTGGTTGTTTCTCACGTAAAGTTAACCTTGCATCTCTTTGTGTCTGTGTCAGATCATCCATATGCTAACTGTATCCGCCTACGCAAAGCCTTTGTTCTCATTTTCTCACCATCAATACTGGGGACATAAACATTGACGTCAGTTACTGTCTAACAACTTTGGCTAGCAGCCAGCTCTCACCACATTAGAAGACAAAAACTCCATGGGAGTCTAGTTGTTTTTGTTTTTTTTTGCGTTTAACATATTCAAAATTTCACAAACAACAGACAATTCCAAAAACAACAATCTTGTCTAAAGAAACGAAAACAATCATAGAGTATCAAAAATAAACAATTTTTTATTTTCTGTAAGGCGGATAGAAGATTAACATCTACAACCTGAACGAATTAGTCAGTCACAACTTTCACAAAGTCTTTGAAGCACAACAGTAGCTTATAGATTCGACAGAGCTGATAACATATTTATAACTGTCTGTCTGGATTCAACATAGAACTTGCCACCGAAGGGCACCAGTTCCAGTTGCCACGTTCCAAACATCACACAAAGGTAGACAAGAAAATGAGTGAAGAGAATCAATAAATGTTTTGACAAGTATAAGAGTGAAACAGAATGAATGAGTAATGGTAGAAAGGAATATGAAAGATTACGGAGACTGAATACATCTGCGTAAGCCATTGACAACGATTTTGAGCCATGTCACCTATTGTCTCCAGCCATTGATTCTTAGAGTCCCGAGGGCGAACCCCAACCCGGATGTCTGCATCTCCCTCCCTACCTGACTGACTCAGTTTAACTGTCAAGGATTTCATGGATTGATGAGGCCATGTTTTTGTTTGGCCACCACTTACTCTTTTCCAACCAACCTGCACCTATATCAGCTAGTAATGCTCGTCCGTCGGGGTAGGCGATGGTTAGTCATGCGCAGCACGTGACTTAGCCATCTCAATCTATGTAACTTTATAGCCTCGTCGATTGATTTTCTTTCTTTGCCCAACACTCTACACCTAACGTCAATATTACGTACCACCTTATTATACCACCTAACGTGAGAAAGAGATCGTAAACATCTATGATCAAAAACAGTCAACCTTTTCATGTCTTCAACTCGTATTGGCCATGTTTCAGAGCCGCATAGAGAAGGATGGAGGGGCGAACTGGTGAGCAGTACACACGTCCCTTGGTTGATAGCCGGATGTCACGCCTACTCCAGAGATGGTGTAAGTTAGCGAAAGCAGCTCGAGCTTTTTGGATCCGTGCTGAGATTTCGTCACCAATCAGTCCGTTGGTGCTGATACAACTTCCCAAATAGGTGAACATTTATAACTCCCTGCCCAAAAGACAGTCAGTCAGTCTGAAAGAGAGATGTTTCACGAAGAATAATGACCTGGAATCCACTTTGGATATCCACTTCCCTTGATCGGAAAAATATGAATCTTTGGTTTAAAACAGTGATCACTGTAGATGTACTGAACTGTATTTCTTTTTTTTAAAGTACTCTAACCTAGAGATATATATTAACTTTATTTTCATTATCTTAAGAGTCTTAAGAGTTAATTTCTACTTCACTCATTCAACGGTTACTGGTTGTAATTTCACAGTCTATTACTGGTCACTAAATGTTTTTTTTGTTGCCGTGATGTTAGGCGAGGATGCTGACAATATTCAGAGTCTACTGAACACCTTGAGCAACAATCTTCGTATGTTTGGAATGCGATTCGCCCCTGTAAAATGTAAGATGATGCTGCAGGATTGGACTTCACCGGCCCCCTAGATTAGAAATAGGAAGTGAAGTGGTAGAGCACGTTGACCACTTCACTTATTTGGGAAGTACCATCAGCCAACGCCAACGGGTTGATGGCTGACGAAATCTCACCACGAATACAGAGGGCTAGTTTCGCATATCCCAGTTTACGCCCTCTCTGGCTTAGTAGACGTGATATTCGGCTGGTTGTCGACCAAAGGGCGTGCGTACTGCTCAGAAGTCCGCTCTGTCCTCCTTTATGGCTGTGAGACTTAGCCATTGAGAGTGGAAGACATGAAAAGACCGGCTAGCTGTATTTGATAATAGGTGTCTGCCTTCTATCTTCCGTGTGTGTGAAGTGGCATAATAAGGTGAGAAATATTGAGGTTAGGCATCGATCGAGTGCTAGTTGGTAAGGAGGAATTGGAAATCAGTCGACGAGGCTGTGAAATTACATCGACTGAGATGGTTAGGACATGTGTTACGTATGCATCCCTAGTTGCCGCCTTCCTCGACAATGCGCAATGTTAGCTGACATAGGATTGGTCAGGCTGGAAAAGAGCTAGTGGTGGTCAAACGAAAACATGTCACCAGTCAATGAAATCTACAACAGTTAGTTTAAGCTAGCCACGTAGGAAGGTGTAGACTTCCTGACTGACTGGTTGGGGTCTTTGGGACAGTAAAAACCAATGAAGGCTGGAAGCAATTGGTGACATGGCTCAAAGTGATCGTTCTCAATGGCTAGTGCAGATGCATCCACTTCTTGTGACTTATGATTTCCAATGAAACTGTATTGTTCTTCATTATTACTATACCTTTGTCTCACACCTCTGTTTACTGTCTTTATTATGCATTTCTCCTCTTGCTTTGTGTGCTTTGTGTGAGCATCTCGAAGACTATATACAAGAGCCAGTAAAGTGTCTTGAATAACTTCTTCACCTACCTATCAACTGTAGAAGTCTCTTTCACATGTAGATATATAGATACACATATATTCAACAGATCGTGGAGAGAGAGAGAGAGAGAGCAGAAAAGATCAGAAAAGCTGGACAGGCATTCATTAATCTGAAATCAGTGTGGAAATCTGCCCTACTCAGAATAAGGAACACTAATATGAAGTCGGTGCCTTTATATGGTTCAGATATTTGGCGTGTGAGTCATGAAAACCCACTTCCGAGAGGCTATTACAGACCAGCATCAACAGGTGTCTTCGCTGGCTCGATATGGAAGATCAGATAGCTGACCAGTCGAAAAAGGGCAAAGTTAAACTTTAAGCACAACTAACTACGAATCAGCGAATGACTTCGAACTCACCAATCAGTGAATGACTTCGAACTCACCAATCACGTGAAGGAGGCATTTTTGTGAATGGAATACATATATATTTATGAAAAAATGCATAAAAACTGTAGAAAAATGTTACAGAGGATACATTCCTCTTATATTTGATGAAAATAGTCCTCAGTTTTTGGTTGGAGTATCATTAGAGTATAATTCCATTGTGGGTAAAATTTATTTGGATAAAGTCTTATGGTGTTGTGGTGAGAGCTGTCTACTAGCCAAATTGGTAGACAGTAATTTACGTCAATATTTACGTTCCCAAGATTTGTCGTGAGAAAATGTGAACAAAGATTGACTTTGCGTAGGCGGAAGCAGTTAACATATAGAGGATTTGCCATTCAAGATACAGTCACAAATAGATGAAAGATTAACTTTACGTGAGAAACAACCAATCGGAAGACTGCGTTTGTTTGCTTAAATATCCATAGTAATGTACATGAAAATATATAAATATGCGTTGATTTCCTTAATAAATGATCTGTTGCCTGACCCTTGCCTTCTGTTGTTACATTTGGTGTCGCTGCCTGTTGCGAAATGAAAGTCCCATGGCCTGCAGCTTTTGAAGAAGGAGACATATGGATCTTCTTAAGGGACTTCGAAGCTATTGCAGAGTTGAATGGCGTGCAAGAGCCATCAGCGAAGACGGTTGTTCTTGGAACGCTACTGAGAGGCCGGGCGAAGGCAGCATATGATAGTGTGAGGCAAACAGAGGGGCAAGCAACTTGGAAGTCAGTGGTTGAACGCTTGAAGCAGGAGTTTGACAACCCAATGGACAGAGAGCGGGCAATGCAGCAGTTTCGCACCATGAAGCTGGGAGTTGACGGTGACCCTCTCGTATTGGCGCTGACCTTGACAAGCCTACTTCGTCGCGCTCTACCAACACTGGACGAAGATTCTGAGGCACAAATGTTGGCATCCCAGTTTATGGAGAGTGTCCCAGAACATATATCCCAACAGCTACATCTGGTTAACGCCGTACAGCCACTGGACATAGGGGAGCTTGCGAAGGTGACCAGACAACTGTTGAGCAAGACGGTTGCAGCGGTAGAGCCACCAAAATCCGAGCAGTGTGAGAAACAAATCGAAGAGTTGCAACGTGAAGTGGCCGCGCTGAGACTGAGCGTGCGGAGAGACCGGTGTTTCGCATGTGGCAAACTGGGGCACTGTTGCCTGACCCTTGCCTTCTGTTGTTACAGTGTAATACAGTAATATTTGCTGAGCGACAAATTTACTCGAGACGTCATCAGTAAGTATTATTGTATAGCAACACTGTTAGACTTTGTCGAAATAAATTTTACCCACAATGGAATTATACTCTACCACAGTGCACAAGTTCTACTCTTATATCAACAGATTAATTTAACCACATTCTATGCATGTAATTATTTAGGTCTTCTAACCCTAACAATAACCCTAATCTTTCCTGAACCTAACCCTAACGTGAAAATATCCCTAAACTAATTGTAATCTAACTTGAACCAACCCTAATGTCGCCTTTATTAGGTTAACCTAACCCTAACTTGTCCTTGGCTTAAAGCGTAACTTAATCTTTCCCAAATCTAAGCTGAAACTTGCCAGATATCCCATTTAATAGCATAACACTTCGATGAGCATATTTAATTGATGATGGCAAACATTATTTGCCAGGTTTCTCTAACTTGCTCAGTGAGCGTTTCAAGGTCATTGGTGCGGTCGCACTCCATTGGTAGTTGTTAGTGGTGCTTAAAGTTTAACTTGGCCCGAAAAAGATTAACGACAAGGGACTCTCTGGCAGTTAACCAACCAGGAATCTATTGGTCAACAAAATGCCGAAGCAAATGAAGATGTACTTGACACACGCCAGGCAAGTTATAGAGTGAAACCTGATTGGAAAACGACAAGTTCGTCGTCCGAGGATGATTGCGTGTGTGTAGAGGGAATGAAAGCTTACAGGTAGTCGTGTAGTCAGGTAAAGAAGAAGAAGAAGAAGAGAAAAAGGACTGAGGAGAACACAGTGAAATGGAAATGTGCTGCTGAAGCCGCTAGTTGCACTTTTTATCCAAAGGAATAGTAATAATCAATCGTCATAACAATAATTTAATTCAGACTCACCAAAATGTTCTAGTAGCCAATGATGTCCTTCTATAAATTGATCAATAATTGAGTAATAATTTGTAACTGCTTCATCGGGCATAACCCATCCACCGGATGAAATTTCCCATTGTCCATTGAATAATAACCTGAGTTTAGAAAATAAATTATTATGTGAAAGTTTATATACATACATGTTGAAATAAATGATGAAGTAACTTGAAAATCCCCATTCAGTCATATAAAAGAAAAGAAGCCGTCGAGTGAAGAGACTCTTTTCGGCGAATTCATTCAATGAACTGTACAATCGCACTTATATACAATTTTGTTTGTGTGTGTGCATTAGATTTATAAAGCTTAGATAATTACGTAATATAAGTATTATTTGGCTAGGAAACAAACGTTAATTAGATAGAAAATAAAATAAAATTGATTAAGTGAATCGGATGACGTAATACAATTGAGTAGAATTCAGAGTAGGTCATCACCATCGAGCAAAGGATTGAATAGCAGTGAAATCTCTACCTCAGCTTCATCTTCTTCAAATAGCCTTCAACAACGTTGACCGCGAAGTACTTTGCAGACAACTTTAACACTATGGTGTACACCAAATCTTTATTAATCCCGTTCAACACCTTTATCTACAGCGGAACACGGCTACGGGTATAGGTGAGAACACCAACACTCATTACGGAGTAAGAACATGCGGCTGACGAGTCCACCGCTGGCAGGTGCTAATCCAGCAACTATTCCACAACAATTAAGTAACTCAAAAGAAATATTGTAGACAAATCTTCCATCCTTATTGACTGTATATGAACCAATCTGAGCAGCAAATCAGATTTAAACTATATTTACTATCGGTAGTTTTGTGTGTTTGCAATTTGTACTACACAACCGCTTGCATTTCTATGTGAAGTCGCTGGTGAGCCAAACCTGTTTTTTAAAGTTGATAATCCCCTACCTGGCTACAGAAACTTCAAAAGATCCAGAGGGACTTGAACCCCTGGCTCGATGTGGTTGAAAGTTGAGCGTCTCGGGTGATTTTACATTCTGTACACTACACTAGATTGAAGATCCCAGAGCTAAGTCGCACTGCTAACCAGCAAGGGGAGGGGGAATTAGAAAAAGTTGACTTCGAAATTTTCACATCACAACTCGTTCCGCAGCGGCTCACAGACAATGTCAAAGCTCGTCTGCACGGATACCACTCTAGCTTAAGCCAGTGAGCCACAGTTGCACAACAGTTCACACTGTGTATTACAATGATGGATTAGTGAAACATGCTTCATCAGTATTTTCATAAGGAAAAAACTAAACCAAAGCTGAGAGTTGCCAATATGAATGTGGTTTGCTAAGAATAAAACTTCTTATAATTATTATTCCCTTAGGTTCCACGTCAAGCATACGCTTTCAGTAGCCCATTTCCACTTCACTCGGTTATCTGCAGTCCGTTTTAGCTGGCTCAAAAATAATCCATATGATTTTTATTTCCCACTCACACGATCGCCTCCATGTCGTTAACCTCGGACACAAACTCAGCTCGTTGTTTTCCGTTCAGACTCCACTCGAAAGCCTCCTAAGCGTGTGGTATCACTTAACAATCTCCTCAGCGTGTGTCCTATTCATCTCCATTTCATTCGGCATACTTACTGGCCAAAAAGTTTGTTGGTTAGTTCGTCGCTGGAGTTCCTGTATGCGCTAATCCTTTCCGACTGGTAAGCCATCTTATCTTCAGTATCTATCAAGCAAAGTTACCTGTTGATGGAAGTCTGAGACAGGCTTTTGGAAATGTTTCTAGTGATACGTCGTGTCCTTGAACCATATAGGAGAACTGACTTTAAAATAGTGTAGAAACTGCAAGTCTTGTTCCTCAAGCTGAGTGTAGCAGACTTCCACACTGATTTCAGAATAATAATTACGATCTGTCTTACTTTTCCAATCCTGGCTGGCCTTGATGTCCTTCTCCGTGCTGCTTCTTTTAGTCGCGAAGATGATGATGATGATGCGTAGATGAGTATGACAAAAAAGGTGACTTTCTCTAGAAATCTCACCTAGTTGTTCACTAAGCAGTCCCTATGCCCACAGAAAGATGGAAGGTTGAACGTGTGGCTTATTCCACACCCTACCCCATCCCACCCCTCAAAAAAAAACAATAACCAACCGATTCAATCACTACAGAAGCTTCAAAGTACAGAAGAAGATTAAGGAACAATGCAAATTAAGGTGAAGAAAATTTACCTTTGAAATTTTCGTTTTTGTTCTTCTGATAAGGTGGTTAACCATAAATTTAAAAAGGATATCTCTGAGTATACAAATCTTGCCTCTTTATGCTCACTTAATATTTCTAGTGTAGCATCAAGATTTGGTTTTGTTTCAGTGTAAAAGTAGTCTTCAAGTGTTTTACGCCATCCTAAAGAAGAGAGAATAAACAGGGGTGGAAGAAAAAATACATACGTACATTTATATAGATGATAGTATAAACTAACAATGTAGTCATTATTATTATCATTATGAATGAGGAAAGCATTCAAACTCCCTAGAGGGATTTGTAAAAAATTATATTCGTAAAATCTCAGCGAAATTGAAATGACTAATTCCAACACGTTTTGTTCAGCAAACTGGTCCGAACTTCTTCTTCGGGGAAATTAGTCAAAATATTAACACAACAGAGGTTTTTTGTATGACTCCAAAAACAAACAGAATCCCCAGAACCCATTAATGGTGAGAATAGGAAACCATCCTCCTCTATTGCGAAACACATATTATGGGAGACAGGACATAAAATTGATGTTGACACATCTTTTAAACCTATCTATAAAATGTCTTTAGGGGAGGGCGTATCCTAAAGTTTGTGGAAGCCCTAGCAATTAGAGAGCACTTCTCTTTTGTTTTTAAAACTTCCTCCAATCATATGAGTTATGAAACAGTCATCAAAATATAATAAAAACAAACAAAATTGTATGAGCTGTGATCAAAATTTGACCTCAGACTTACAAAATATTAGTTGAACACTTTAAACAGAGTGTACTTTTCATCAGAATTTTGGTGATTACGTTCAACTGAAAGTTCATAGTCGTAGATAGCTTAATATGAAAATATATTTTTTTAATTGTGCTTATCCTGTTTTTGAATATAGCTTTGGTACAAGTATGGAATTTTCAGCAGGTGATATCGGTAGCCCAAATTTTGCAGGCCGACCATTGATATCAGGTATATGTCGGTAGGGGATTGAACCCCAGACTATGTGCATGGTCGGCGAGAGTCCTAACCGCTGTGCTACCGAAGTATATTTGTGTATATACAGTATGTAATGGTGTGTGTATGCGAAAACATTTGTAAAACATTTGTAAGCCTCTCGATAGGAAGATACAAAACAATCGGAAATTTTGACCAAGTATGATTAATTGTTGATACATATCCAATTTAAATTTATTAATCAGGATTTGCCATGCATCAGCTAACATCACACCTTCACGTCTATTCAAACTGTTAGGATTCACCCATATATGTGTAGGTCTTCTGCAGTCAGTCTTTCTTTATACGAACCAAAATCTTTCTGTAGCACCTTAGTCCTCCTATCGAAATCGATTTTGTGTCCCGTTTCTATCGAATGCAGAGTGCAATCACTGATCTGTTTTCTAGCTTCTTTAAGTCTGCAGAGTTCTCTGGAACCACTTTTAGACATTGTTTATGCTCTTTCACTCTTAAATTTACCTGTCTGGAAGTTTCTCCTACATATACGGCGTTACAGCCCCCACAATTGATCTGGTATACGCAATTCTGCTGGTTTTCTTCTTCTATTTTATCCTTAACCTTCACCAGTGATGAGCGTAAGGTGTTAGTTGCACGAAAATGCACTCTTATGTCATGATTGTTAGGGATTTGCTTTATCTCATCCGATGTTTCTTTGCGGTAAAGAATCATCGCAGAATTATTGTTATATATGATTGAAGGCAATCAGTAGGAAAAAGCCTGCACGACAAAGGTTCCGTGTTTTGTTGGCGCTTCTTCTTCTTATAGCAAGGCTTAAGACACTGATGTGTCCCACTGGGATTCAAACTCTTGTCATCCACTGGTGGAACCGGTAACACTGAGTTATTCGGACGCATGATTGACCTCCTGTAGGACTGTGATGGATATCTTGACTGGACACTAGGAAGTAACCAATATCATGCATCTAAGTCTCTGTTTCAGTGGTTTGCTGGTGAATGGCAACAAGTAGAAAACTTAGGTCCAAGGTTACCTGCTGATTGCCTTTAACCGTCTAGAAAAATTTAGAGTGCACCATCATGATGGCCAGCCACATTGCAAACTTGACTGACTGAAAGAAGGACTAAATGCATGGCACATTATTAGTTGCTACCCAATATCCAGTCATGCGAATCCCCGAATTGAGACCAATTGAATCGGTCAACAGGAGGGAGTAAAAACAAACCGATATAAAGCGAATTAGGAAATTTTCTATAGTTTGGTTTGTAAGGATTAGTTATGTTTTACGAGTTAATTCACGGACTGATATCAGTTAGAGAACCATTGAAACCCAGCCACAGGGAATACTGGACAGCTGCTGTTTCATCCTAGTTTTGGGAATCATCGGCAGTACGCACCCACTGGGATTCGAGCCCAGGACTTTCCGGTTACAAGGCAAGCTCGTATACCATTCAGCCACTGGGACCCGATTCAATGGCTCATGAATTCTAACTTCTACCAATTCGTGATTTTAGCGCGACCCCAACTATTGTCGTTGGTGGGACATCCATCCACACACGTGACTTCTAATTACCGATGATTCCCAAACTAGGATGAAACAGCAGCTGTCCAGTACTCCCTGGTTTTCAATGGTTCTCTAACTGATATCAGTCCATGATCAACTCGTAAAACATAACTAATCCTTACAAACCAAACTATAGAAAATTATTCTGATGCTCGCTAGTGACTTGCTACAGGTTGGAGCTTCCTGGAGTTCTAGTGAGAAGTCGTGACCAGTGAGTTCCAATTAGAAGTCACGTGTGTGGATGGATGTCCCACCAACGACAATAGTTGGGGTCGCGCTAAAATCACGAATTGGTAGAAGTTAGAATTCATGAGCCATTGAATCGGGTCCCAGTGGCTGAATGGTATACGAGCTTGCCTTGTAACCGGAAGGTCCTGGGCTCGAATCCCAGTGGGTGCGTACTGCCGATGGTTCCCAAACTAGGATGAAACAGCAGCTGTCCAGTACTCCCTGGTTTTCAATGGCTCTCTAACTGATATCAGTCCGTGATCAACTCGTAAAATTAGGAAATTGTGTAAATATACCATGATATTATAATGAGCAATTAAGTAGGCTTTATACGTTATCCCCTTCATTAAACCTTGTATCATTGTGTGTCAAATCAAACAAGTTTATCTAGTATGGAATAATGAGTGGTAAATATTATTATTCATGTGATGGCTATGGATAACGATGTGACATTTGAAACAATCGGTAGTGGGTTGAAATCCCAATGGAAGGTGGACCGTCGTCACTAGTAGGAATTCTCAAAAGAGGCAAATACAGGACAGAACTCAGGGACGTGGATTTCATAGACAGGGACCATTGAACATTCAGTGATTGTAATTTAAATATGAGGTAATTTAGTTTATTATTATTATTACTGCTAATAATAATAATAATAATGAACGGAAAAGCGAGTTTATTCTTTTTATTTCAATCATGATTACCTGGATCTTGGTGTGAGAATGGTACAATGAATACTTCTAATGGTCTATCCTTCCAGTGATCCATATTGTAAGAAATTGGAAATCCTTGAGTCCAAGCACCGCCAGGCTTATTATCAAAGGCTAATTGATTATAAACTTCACCCATCTATAAATAAATAAATAAAAAAAGTAAAAGTAAAAGAAAATAGAATAGTTAGATTGTATGAGACAGTGTGTCTTGAGAGATTGACAGTCTCTTATTTATCTTGTGTAAGTGATAATTGAAGGTGAGCTTGGACTGGATTCGAATTAGCAGGAACCGAATGATTAGTGCCTCCAAAGCCTCAGGATGGTCGGGGATGCGTGCCTTGCGCTGCGGGTTGGCCACCCCTCCTCACACCTCTTGAAATGCTCCCATATGACCGGGCGTCTTACATAGCCTCTCCTGAGGAAGTCCTACACACTGCTTTCACGTGGCGGAGGTGTTTTTCACCAAAGTGAGAGGGCGAAAGCGGATGCCCGGCGCTCTTCACCGGGTTGACTGTCCATTGGATGACAGTCTAGGGGAGATGGCTAAACCCTGATTCCAAACCTCCAACGACTGGCGTATGAAGCTCACTGGAGCTCACCGGAAGACGTATGGACAAAGGGCTTGTTGGATGTCCTGGATGTCTGGCCCCATTCAAAAAGGCGTATGAACCGAACTCCGGTCACCGGCTGCCAATGGATAGTGGACTCCGTACTCCACTCTTACTGCCTTGTAGGTCACACTTGGTTGTGTAAAGGCTAGAGCTGCACTCTCAAACAAAAGGCCGAGCGATTCTGGGGACATCACTCGTACCAAATTCCCATGAAACTTCATGAACTCTCTTACTCCAGTACTGGTCCGACAACGTCGCCTTCGGTGGTTTGGCCATGTTCTGCGCCGACCAGATGACGATCTGGTCAAATCAGTTCTAAATCCCTCACCATTACCATCTTGGCGATGTCGCAGGGGTGGACAGCTGAAAACATGGCTTGGTACAGTCAAGGCTGATATGGAATGCCTGGGGCTACAAACCGTCTACGGAATCCGTCTGTGGAACAAGAATTGGATAACCCTGTCGCAAAACCTTGCATCAGATCGCCGCGCCTGGGCAGCGATTATTCGAGATGTTCATGAAGCCGGCTCATCCTCCCGTAGGAGATAGCCGAAGTAAAGTAAAGTAAGGATGATTAATACAGCGATCTACCAAATGAACAAAGCGATCCAATTGCCAATTATGTCCTACAAATGAGCTAGGTTAGTAGATCAGAGGTCGCTGGTACGAATCTTGACGCGATTGATAATTTCATTTTACTTCCAACTCTCACCGATTACATGAAGACTCGAACCTCTGAACCATCGAGTGAAAACCGAGTGGTAAAGTCAATGAACTACATCTCTACATTGAACTCACTTGTGTGAAACAGATTATTCATGTACCAAGCTACAAGCCAGACACACATTATATATGACAGATAATGACACTAGCCAGTTGAGTCAGGCTGGAGTAGGTGGAACGGATTTTGAATCTGGGACGCACTGGCTAGACTTCCAGGTGCTTAAACCACATATACGAAATATATAGGAAAAGGAGACTGACACACAATAAGGTTTTCAGTTGTATCATCCCTACTGTTTATTATCCTTATACACCCATAAATTTTCTTCAAGAATATGTTACTTTCAAATAAATCATTATATGCAGTGATACTATTTCTTAGGGGATAGAGAAAAAGTTCTTCATTGCTACAGAAATTGTTGCAACAAACATTAATTCAGAATGTCAATCAATTGATCGCGGCGAGCGTTGGAATCCAAGATGCGCAGATATCATCCAACTTAGCATTCATCATCTGGACTTACCTGAATTCGCGGTGAGTGATTGTGTTCTCAAACCAGTCAGTACCCATCGTTTCAAACGCTAAAACGTCACCCACTAAAACCACTAGTTCCTTTTTCCTTCACGTTCCCCAGTGGAACATAGGGCTCCAAGCTAGAGGCTTGAAGTTTCTGTAGCAGTGTTAATATTTACAGGATGGGGTTGCTAGCCTCATGTTCAACCTTTCCGCTTTACCAGTCTCCCTACTGGCTTAGCGAGGTAAAGGAATGCGTCGGCCGGGGATCGAACCCCGGACCATGTGTATGGTCGGCAAGCGTCCTAACCGCTGTGGCACCGACACACAAAACCACTACTAGTCACGATTAACTAAACAACATCAAGTTAATCATCAGAAATCATCGAAACATCCGTTACACGAGCTGACTTGTCGAGTAAAGACCAGGCATTGCAGTACAATAAAATCGACTGGTGGGGATACAAAAATAATAACTTGAAGAAAAGCCATGATAATAACAATAACAATAATAATAATTATAATCCCACCTGAAATGTTGTATTACACACAGTAAACTTGTCATATCTTTGACAAGTTGGAGCTTGAAATGTCTGTAATTTCACTTGTCCCCCCCTTGTACTAACAACATTATCCCTGCTGTCATTATCATTATTATTATTCTTATTATTCAGTATTAATTTCGACTTTGTGGCCTGTTCTTTTCTCACCAACAATGATGGATCAGGTTTCATATTCTCCACCGGTCTGTTTATTGAAGAAGAAAAAGAAAGCGAAATAGGAAAATAACAATTCCGAGGATAAAAACAGACATGAATTCATAGAAAAAGACAGATATATTACACAATGTCCTATGACTTCATCTAGGACTTAGAATAATAATTGATGAAAGAAGTTATAAGTACACATCAATGTTATTCCTACGTGAACTGTCCGAAGAATCTCCTGACACTTGTAAAGTGATTTTTGTAGATTAAATGTGTCAGCCAGGTGAGTTTAGGGCCAATAAACACAATCGCGTCTCTGATATATCACACCCGTATCTCGAGATGTCAGAGTTCTAGCTAGCGAAGCCTGTTGTCCTCTGTCGCATACAGACTGTACGTTGAAAACTCCCATATGAAATTGGCAGGGTGACACTGAGAGACTAGAAGCTATGCGATTTTCATTGGAAGTCACTGTGTCCCTTTTTCCTAACTCAGCACTAACCAAATGCACATAAGTTGTTACAATCAATATAGCACACATGAAGGTAGAGAATTAGAGAGGAGTCCAAAGAAACTATAATAAACGGAAATATACGAGAGAGAGAGAGGGGGAGAGAAAGAGAAGAAAACCACTTACATGAAGAAACGTGAGGATTGAATCGATCTGGGAGACAGCAAAGAGTGAATCAATTTGCGCCACTGAGAATCATTTCGCGGCATAACACTAATAAAATTCAACCATCGACTCTTAGTGTCTCATGGATCCCAAGAAGGCAGACTATACCTAACTAAATGGCTGGCTAAAACCTACAGTCAGACTTCCGAGTTTTCCAACCTGATCTGATGTCAGGTGACATGACTTCACGAGGAAGCAGGTGACTTCGCATGCGTAACACGTGTCCTAGGCATCTCAGTCAATGTAGCTTCACAACACCAGCGATTGATTTCTCTCTCCTTACCTAGTACTACGCCTAACCCCAGTAATTACTCCACATATCATACCCCACTTCATAACACAAAAGACAGAACGCAAGCACCTATGGTCAAAGACAACTAACCTCTTCATACCTTCCACGTCTCTTAGAGCGAAATACTTCGCAGCACCTACGTCATCTCTTCGATAGCTTGATATCACGTCCGCACACCAAAGATGATGTAACTTTGACTTTAATTCGGCTGTCTCCTACGGGAGGATGAGCCGGCTTCATGAATTTCGTGAAGTTTCATGGGAATTCGGTACGAGTGATGTCCCTAGAATCGCTCGGCATTTTGTTTGAGAGTGCAGCTCTAGCCTTTACACAACCAAGTGTGACCTACAAGGCAGTAGGAGTGGAGTAGGGAGTCCACTATCCATGGTGAAGACGCTGATCGAATCTAGAGTCTTCTGAACACCTTGAGCAGAAATCTTCATTTCTTTGGTGGGAGATTGACTCCTATCAAATGTAAGATGATGTTGAAGAACTGAACTGCAGAGACTCATAGCTTAAGGACATGCAATGAAGTGGTAGAGTATGCTGACCAACTCACTTATCTGGAAAGTTGCATCAACCCAAACGGACTGCTTGCTAAAGAAATCTCAACACGGATACCAAAGACCCATGTGGCACTTGTCAATATATATATATATATATCATCTCCCACGTAGACGTATAAACTGAGCAGCAGTTCACTCTATCCTCCTTCATGGCTCAGAAACATGGACATTGGAAGTGAAAGATATCAAAAGGTTAGCTGTCTTTGACCATAGGTGGCTGTGTTCTGTCTCCAAAGTCAGATGCTTTATTATGGTGAGTAATATTGATGTTAAGCGTAGAATGTTAGATAAGGAGGAGAAGTCAGTCGTCCAGGTTGTGAGGCTGCATCAACTGAGATGGCTACAACACATGTTGCACATGCTACTCCATCGCCTTCCTCGACAGACAATGTTAGCTGACATAAAATCAGGTCGGAAAACAGTTATAGGTGATCACACCACAACTTGCCATCAGCTCATGAAGTCTATGACTGCTGCTTTGAGCCACTTACGGAGATGCAGGCTGCCTGATTAGGGACGCCAGAATGCTTAGAACTGATGACTACAGAGTACAGATGATATGGTTTGAAATCGTTGTCGATGGCTCAGATACATTCACCCCTTGTGCAAAGTTCCATGTGGAAAACTTACATATTTAGAGAACACTATCCATCTGCACTGATTGCGCAGATATTCGGTTAGTAAATGGAGAAAACGGCAACAACAACAAAAAGAAAGTTATTGAAGGATGAATAGCTTGAAATTATGATTAAAAATCAACTAACCGTTTATTAAGCATTAACGGATCTGTAAGCCAATGCATCGACAGTGGATTCTGTGGTATTTCATGAAAATCTTTGACTATACGCTGTAGATTGATTAAATTCCTTTCCTTTGGTTCAGCATAATACTGCATTACAACATAAAGTGCCACAACGGTACATATCATAATAAAGCATAAACGCCGTACAAGCCTCAGCCTCATGGTTATAAACGTACTGATAAACAAAAGTAAATAGACAATCAGCAGTTTACAGTATACTTTTATGTAATAATAAATACTAAAGCATGTAAATCAAGGCGAAGTTATACTAATCTCAAAGAACTTATAATTCAATTTCATACCGTCTACAGCAGCATAAATTCATTTGTGCAACTTTTGTTAGACAGTTAACCTAAATAAGGTGATTCCCTCCGAACCAATAGCAGTGGAAAACTCCATGAAAATCAAAATCGAACACAGTCATAAAAATATATATTGTATTATAATGACAAAAAAGATATACAACACCGGGTGCAGACAACGAAAGATATTAGTAGTCACATTTATACCTCATTTGTTTAGTCTGCCAACTGATCCACAGTATTCAGTTCCCAGCTATTTACGATACAACTGCAAGAGATCAAATTAGTGGTCAGTATTAAAACAATGGTCCAGATGCCGTGTGAGAAACCGGTGTACCAGTAGAAGACAATAGACTTGGTAAAGGAATGTTTGTTAGGAATTCGGTATCGCTATATAGCCAAATTATGTGCACCTTATCTTCAAATCACCATTTGCACAGATCTCTCATGCTGTGCTACTTCTGGCCTCCATATTGTCTCTTTGTGTTCCTTTCACGTCCCCCGTGTATCTCTGTGACGGTCATTTGATTTCTCTGACATCAAATCTATCTCCATGCTATTTGATGTTTTATGCCGATGAACGTCTCTTTATGACTAGCACACGCCACACCACCTTCCAATGAAACCGCAAACTCAGTGACCAGCGGTGGATTTGGCATATAGATTGACGGGGCTGAGTAGTGTAGTAACCAAAAATGGATAGAACCAACTATTTGAAAGTGTTCGTGAACTCTTGGGGGCCATCCTCTTAACTGTGGTTACGTGTTCTGTGCTTTCATTCTATACACTCTACACGTGTACATTCAAAAGCCTATTCTAAGACAGTTAACAGTATTCAAATTCTCTGCAGTCGACAGTCCCAGGGCATCAGTTTGACAAACTCCTGTGAGCGCTCTTCCAAACTAACTGGTTGTCCCTCTGCGTCACAGAAGTTACTGGAAAACTTCAAAACCAACAGCTGTTTCATAAGTCACTTCAATACATTTACTAACTACTTACCTGGCGATTCCTAGGGAAGCTTGTGTTTTGCAGGTAACACTCTGGATACTATTGTAGTAAATAATAAAGAATGTGAATGACAGTCTATGACCGACTATAGAGATTCATACGTCTGATATATTAAACAAAAGGAACTAGTGGTTTACAGAGCGGTTACACCGTCATAAAACGAGTTGCGCTCTCATGGTTTTCGGTTTTCATAGCCGTCAAGGTCATTAAAGTGTTTCATTATCTAGGGTCCTACTGAGTTGATTCAGCGGAAAGTGTAAAACACTCCTGACAAACCACATATCTGCAGCAACTATTTAGCCAATGTTTGACAGGATATGACAAGTTTTTGCGTCATGGCATTCAGTGAAGCGGTTTATGGTACAAAATGCATATTTTTCATCATGGTACTTGAAGAAAATCCCTTCTGTAAAACTGTTTTTCTCTACCAGATGTTACAATATCTCTCTTTCATTTTGGTCCTTACGCTTTGGATTCCTTCTAACGTTCCTATTACATAACAGAAATATTTGCTATCCATGACACCCAAATCCAATATCCAATATCGTTTTTACGAGCTAGTATAAACCAATTTGATTTCTTTCTGCTCGCCTCTTGATTGTGAGGTAGAGGTTCCTGATCTTCGGTAAACCTCTGCGTATCTCGTCCCGCCACTCGACTGTCGTAGCTTTGGTTGACTCCAAAAGGAGTAGTGCAGGGATTAATTGTATGTGGTTTGTAGAATGAGGTGTGTTAAGACTGTTACTACTGCTAATGGAGTTGATCCCTTCACCAGTTGGTCCTTCGGTATCGTCATCAATAGAAAAGAGATAATAATAATAGATATAATTAGTGAAGGTATTCAGACTAACAGACAGAAAAAGAATAAGAAAACGTAACAACAGTCAGTCAACCGGCATATATATACCGGTAATAATGATAATAATAATAATAGGTGTAGTTAAAGCTGTCAGGAGAGTAAGACGGAAGAGAATGTAAAGAAGTAAAACGACCAGTTTAATTGTCTACCTTTGAATGCTGTATGCGATTTTAAGTGGATAGGTCATTTGGATGCTTTCCTTGTGTCGCTGCAAGGTTGTCCAGCCTTCGCTTAAAGGCGTCCACAGATGGTGCCATAGCTACATCTGCCGGTAAGGAATTCCAGGGACGGCAAACCCGCAGGGAAAAGAAGTGGGAGCGCACCCGGGTCCTTGCCCTCTGATGAGCTATCCTTCTAGGATTTCCACGAGGGAGCCTATACCTACTCAATGGCAGAACACCTTTGTTTGGGTGATTCTGATAATTTGTTATTTTGTAGTCAGTAATTAAATCTTCCTAAGACGACGGTAACTAAGTGTGAATAGGCCTAATTTCTTCAGCCTTTCATTATGTGGTTTGTTTCGGAGACCAACCATTCCTTTTGTTGCCCGTCGTTGAGCTCTTTCCAAGAGGTTGGCGTGTCTTCTAAGCAGTGGGGGTGCAATGATATTATGCACTTCAAGATGCGGTCTGACGTATGTTTTATACAACTTTAGAAAGAGCTCTAGAGTGAGTGCATCTAACTGTCTATGTGTAAAGTTTTCGACCGCATATGCCCTCGCTACGTCTCCCGTGTAACTTACGTTTGTGTCTAGACCTAAGTCTCGCTCCGACGTTGTGCAGGACAAGCTTTCATTGCACAGGGTGTAACTTGCATTCTGCAGTCTACAGGTGCGTAATTTCACTACTTTGCACTTTATCAGGTTGAAAGTCATGCCACTGGCCACCGCCCAGTCTTCCAGAAGGTTTAGATCTGCCTGCAGTCTATCTGAGTCCTCCAGGCACTTTATCGCCCTCCATATCTTCACGTCATCAGCGTATAGAAGAGTCGGGCAGCCTAGACGGCATGGTAGATCATTGACAAGAATCAAGAACACCAGTGACCCAGGATAGAACCCTGAGACACTCCTGATGACGAGCTGTGCCAAGATGATCGGACTCGATTGACCTTAGTGCAAAATCGCCCTTCAGTTAGGTAGTCATTTAACCATGACAGAAGAGGTCTACCTATACCTGCCTGGCTTATTTTTTGTAGGAGGTCATGGTGAACAGTGTCAAATGCCTTCTCAAAGTCTAGAAAGATCACATGGACTGGAACACTCATATCCCAGCATGAGGTCCAGTCATCCCAAGCTGATAATAAGTTAGTGACGCAGGATCTCCCTTTCCTGAAACCGTGTTGGGCTTCATGGGGGTATTTTAGACCTATCGAGATATTCCCTGATGTGATCATCAACAATACCTTCCAGTACTTTCGATACCACTGGGAGTAGAGCTACTGGTCTATAACTGGTGGGATTTTGCCTATCCCCACCCTGGAAGATCGGAGAAAGGATGCTTCTTTTCAATTCCTTTGGCAGTTTCCCCGATTCCATGGAGTGATGGAACAAGTCGCATAAGGGCCTGCAGAGAGCTTTGGCGCACTGTTTCAGAACAGATGACCCGATGTCGTCACAACCTGGGGACTTCCCAGGTATGAGTAGCTGCAGCTTTCTTAGTACTATTGCAGGGTTTATTTGGGGGGGTGGCTATTTGGTCTTCCTCCTGTGAAATAAAGATGCCACCATTTTGGTCCGTAACGGTAATACCCACATTGCTGTTTAGCTGTTTTGCGAAGGCTAAACTGAATGTTTCAGTCATCTCCAGATTAGTGAGATATTGACCGTTTCGGCCTACTAAGGCGCATGTCCCCTGGTTGGTTGGTTTTCTTTCCGACATGAATCGGTACAAATTCTTTGGGTTTGCCAGGAGATTTTTAGCAAGGTTAGCCTGGAATGACCTCCTGTCCCTCCTGATTCTTGCATTGCACTGGTTCCTGAGTTCCAGGTATGCATCATGGTCGGTCTGGCTTTTAGATACGCGCCAGGTAAACCAAGCCTTCCGGTTTGCTTGCAGAATACGCTGCGTGCCTCTCTTTAACCATGGTGTTTTTCTTTTGGGCTGTGTTGTGACTAAAGGGACGGTATTCGAGATTACTGTATGAATAATCTTTTTTACCGCTTTCCAGTGTTCATCCACAGACAGCTCATCCCATGCTAAGGGCCAGTCTGCATCGGACAAGAGCCTCCGCATTTCAGCATAGTCAGCCTTGCTATAACACAGACATGGTTGCGTAGCGTCCCACTGCAAATGCTCTTTGAGAACGAGGTCGAAACCTATGACTGCATGGTCACTACTTCCTAGAGGAGTCATGATCTGGACCTTTTCGTCAAGTAGTTGGCCACTAGTTAGAATGTAGTCTAGTTTTGATGACTTTCCACTAGGGCCCCACCTAGTGTCGTCTCCAACGTTCTCAGTCAGTCCCGTTTTCCGAATAGCTTGCAGTAGATTTCGGCCGAATTTTCCCTTAGCATACCCCGAGCCAAGGTTCAGTGATGGGGCATTGAAATCTCCAGCAATGGTGATTTAGTCATAGCCCAAGTCTCGTATCCCTGTGATAGTGCTGAGCAGTAGCTGATTGTGCTCTGCCCAACAGGTGGGAGATCGGTAGATGCCACTAAGTAAATCCTTGGTGTGACCTATGGTGAAATGACACCATATGGAGTCTAGGAGTTCAACAAGTGGTGGGTCCGTTGCGCGCACACATTTAAGTTGCCTATCAAAGTATACAGCAACTCGATCTCCTTCCTTACTATCCCTGTCTCTCCTGACCAAAACCATATCACCTATACTGATTTCATTATCGGCGATAGTGGGGGTTAGCCATGTTTCGGTGAGAATGATCATATTCAGTTGTAGGTGTGCTTGGAGATTTCGGAGTTCACCTATTTTTACTCTCAGCCCCCTCACATTGCTATATAGGCAGCTGACAGTGAGGCTTACAACCTCAGCGTGTTGTGGGGTAGTTGACGTGAAGCTGTCTGTTGGTAGGGGACTTAATGTTGGGACTAGTTGGCCAGTTCCGATGGAACCGGCTCGTTGTGGTTTTTCCCATGGATTTAGGCAGGACACTTGGGTGACACAGACCGTTATTCTCAGAACTGCATCGCTCTAGTGTCACTGAAGCTTGGGGACGTATTAAAGCCTCCGTTTGCTGCCTCCTTATGGTTCGAGGTCTGCTTTCGCAGCATCGAATGTGTCCACCCAATTTCCCCTTGATCTCATACCACCGTTGAAGTGCTATGGCCAACTGCTCTGGGGAGTTGAATGTGACACTTAGCAGCTTTGGGGAGCTAATCAGTGTGAGATGAGTGGGGCGAGGTAGTCGGTAAACGGAGATGGCTCCAGAAGCGCCAAGGGCCATCTGAGACGACAGCCATCTCCACTGCTGTACGTCATGCATGTGTTTTTCACAGGCAGTGCCCGTTTCCAGCTCCGGAACACCGTGTACCACCATAGAGGTAGAAGGCATCAGTTCCGGTGACTCCCTCACCATTTGTCTGACAGCTCATGGTCTGCCCTGTCTCACCCTTATGTTCGAACTTATGTCAATGGCTAGTACCTGAGCCATCAATAGTACCTTTTCGGCCTCTTCGGCAGAGTCCAGTGTAACCCGTAATGGAGGTGGCTTACCTTGAGGTGTGTGGACACCTCTGTACAGCCTGCACAATTTCACTGAACTAATATTCAGACCTAGTTTATTGCACGGGTTGGACCACTGTTCCTGATCGAACAGGGCCCGCTGTTCAGGCAAGCT